TCACTTTTTTATCATACCGGTGTCTTTATTTTACACGCTGCATAGGTTTTGTAACTCCTTTGATGCACATTTAACTTACCTGCAACTGGCAAACACAAAAATATCCTTTGATAACACCAATTAAAGGCCATAAAATTACCCACCAATATCTTGTGGTTACCTGCAACTGTCAATGTTTACATACAAAATCTATTGTGACGTCATCTCGTCCTGCTCGGCCACCTTCGCAGGAGGGCGAGTTGGACGAGCGAGACTACTTGTCCGGGACGAGATAGAAGAGGTTCCGAACAGTCAAAACATCTCGTCCAACTGGTCTGGACGAGATGTACGAGCAGTTTCGAACGCACCATAAGAAGGTGTAGTAGTGGAAAAAGTAGAGAGTGGAGTTAATTGATGATTAACTGTGATACACGTCAAAAGTCGTGAAACAGTTCGGGGTAGGGCACAGAAAGGGCAAAGAGGGGTGAGGGTAGAGAGGGTGAGCAGATGGGCAAATGTAGGTAATAAGGGCGATTAGATCAAAGTTGCCAAATGAGGAAGAGTGTTTAAGGGCGATTGGATCAAAGTTTTTAAAAAATCAGTAGGAAGAGAATCCAGGGAAGGGTTGTTGTGACAGTCACAGAGGGGGTAATGTAAACTTCATGGAGGTCATGCCTACGTAATGTAATTTTGACAATATTGGTGTAGGACTTTTGCCAGTCGTTGGGAGGAATAGTGTAGCTCTGTGCTGATAACGCATAGTCAACGAAGCAGGCAAATAGGACGTTTGCGCAGTCAGACCAATCCTTGCCATGGCAATTAGCTGGGGAGATGAAGGGTACAGGCTAGATAACTAAACAGGGAGATACCGTGTGCATGGCTCCCTAAGGCCGTTCAGGACTGATCTTTTATCCTTTCAACAAATTTCTCACATTTTTGGAAGTAGGTAGAGGGGGTTGGAGAAAAGAAAAAGGAGAAGGGAAGAGGAAAAGACCATACAAAATTGGTTGAGCCATGGGCTTGAGGTCAAAGGTAGAGGAGGTTCCCAACATCGGAAGTCAGGTCATGTAGCACCATTGGAAGGTATAGAGTCGAAAAGGGTAAAGAGGGGAAGGTGAGTTAATGATTAGGTGTTATACGTCAACTGTTATATAATAGGATGGTATTTGAAAGGGTATAAAGATGGGTAAGGGTGGAGGAGCGAGTGAATGGATTAAGGTAGGAAAAAGCAAGAGGGGATTAGATCAAAAGAAGGATAATGTAAGGAGGAAGGGAATCCAGGGAAGGGGGTTGCTATGACAGAGTCACGAGTATTCTGGGGGAAGCGCCCCCCCACCCACACACACACACACACACACACGAAACAGGGGGGACGAGATGTACTGGGAGGGAATGGGAGGAAAGGATGTATGGAGAACATGAAAATGAGGAGGTTTGGATGTCGGCAGTTATTTTGATTGTAGAAGGAATGTGAGCAGAGAGATCAGAAGGTGGATGAGGTGTAGGCATGTTACCTTGGGTCATTAGTTTTCAATGTTTTCCAGAATTTCTGAAGTGGATTTGGTCAGGGAGGTCTGAGAAACAAAAGTTTTCTTATTTGAGGGAGAACACGAGATAGGTATTTGAGTGGTAGAGGAAGAGATCCCTCCTGCATCTATTCCTCCATCTTACGTTTCCACTTCAATTCCCTCCTCTCCTGCCCCAATACCTACCCCTCTCCCCCTTCGTGCTACCCATAGCAGACAATCTAAATACTATTCCACCCTATTATCTCCTGCCACACCCTCTCTGCCATTCATCTCTTCCTCTACCCCTCAAATACTTTGTAGAAATGGTTAAAGGTTAAAAGCAAAATGAATGTGTTAGACATCAAAGGTCATATAGCACTACAGGAAAGTATAGTAGAGGGTGGTGATGAGTGATAATTGATATGCATCAACTATCTAGAGTAATATTGAAAGGTGAAAGATGGGTAAAGGAGTTAATGAGTGAATGGGTTATGGTTTAGGTAAGGGAATTAGATCAAGTGAAGGATATGCATGCGTCTGAGGAAGGAGAACAGGTTGTCAAAGCAGAAAGTAGATAATGGATGTATTATAAGAAATGATATGACAAAGGTCTGGTCTGTGAGAACGGAAACCGTGAATATTCCGATGTAGGAGAGCTATACCTTAGTTGATTTATGAGTGATAACGTATGCAATACTTGTTGGGGAATTTGAAGAGGAAGGAGCTAGGGGGTGAGATGAGGAATTTGAGGGGGGGTTGGCATAGTATCAGGAGGTGGAGGATCTGGAGAAGGGAACTTTGTAGAAAGATACATTACATTCTAATTATGTTCACACACAGCTGTAAAACTTTATCTTTGTTAAACCTTTTTTATTTTTACTTTAGTACTTCGTTATGAATTCATAACAATTTTTAGTTATTTTCTTAGATTGTCAAAACTTTACGAATCTTTACCAGTCCACTAATTTTAGTCAATGAAACAATCACAAGGCTTTAGGGTTATAAAAATAATATAGTGTAAACCCTTTATTGATTATATAACAATTAATTTGATCACATTTGTTCATTGGTATAAATACTATCACATGTTTGTTACAGGGATGATATTCATATGGTCCCAGAAATATCAATTTATTTTTAAAATATATTATTACTTGGTTTTACTTTTAAAAATAATATGAATGATGTGCTACACTAATAGTTCACAGCTTTTAATTTAAATTCATAACTCTAGTTACTATCATCCATTACAGATGCAATTACCATAATCATAACTAAAAATGAAAACAAGGGCTAACACATAGAACTTGTATGTAAAACAAAATAATTATACAAGTACCTGACCAGTATGTGGTTAGTAATTATTTATCAGTTTAAAAAAATATATGAGATTAAAGGAAATACATTAAAACTAGCTTGTATAATGCTGAGTACAATCATTTTACACCACATATGTGTTGACAATGGTTTTTTTTTTTTTACATTTTCATTATATCTCATGTCTGCAATGGTTCTCATGTTCATTTTTGTTACCTTTGGCTTTGCCCTTCCTAATATTAACTTTGCTCCAGACTGGGGTTAAAAATGTTGGACAATGATGCTAGGAGATTTACATACACTCAGCTGCCCTGCAACATCATCTCAGCCAAATATAGACATTGGTGCATATAAATTTCAGGCTTTGGAAGAGAATGAAGAGAATGTATATTCAAACTGATTCTTTTGTCATCAAAAATTGCACTTAATCCAATCTAAAAATAGTATATCACACTGAAAGGCACAGGGTTATTTTTTATGATAATGAAACCTGTGCTGGTTAATTTATGGTAAAGCAAACAAATCTTACACAGGAAAATGAAACTTATTTCTATAAAGCTGATCAATAAAATGCTATTCAATCATCTGGATCTGGAAACGTGACCATCACATCATGAAATTGTTTTGGCTTGAGGGCCCAGTGGCGTGAAAAAGGTGTCATGAAAAACTCTGGCTGAGGGCCCGGGTGATGGGAATATGCTGGAGAATCTTGGCTTAAGGCCTGGGTGTGGGAATGACATTTGCACCACAAAGCTCTTAGACTGTTGTGGGCATTTATGAAAGAGCTCTTGCATTATTCCCATTGGTAAATGAGCATAAAATGTACTGATGGTCACATGTATTATATAAATTTGAATATCATGAAAATATTTTTAAAATAACACAAAATACAATCTTAATCTTGTTATTGTTGCTGCTATTAACTACCATCTTGATACAGTATTTCAAATGACAAATATATGCAAGGAGTCTTAACACCTTGGCCTACAAGCCATACACCCAGGACAGTCGCCTCTCAAGTAAGCCTGATGACTAGATTTTGGGCCACAGGCAAAGAGTGAGGCACCCGGAATGAACGAGCTAAGTCTGTAGAGACCATTTGCGATTTAGTACAACAGAGTTAACCTATATCCTGAGAATCAACAATACTAACTGGCAGGAGGCTTCATGCGTACCTGAACATTCAGGAAATCAACATTTCATTAATCATAGGACTCTGATAAAGATAAAACATCAAAAAGCAAATCACATACCTGACATTCAGGAACTCTTTGTCATGGTTGACACAATTAACTTTATTCATCCCTTCAAATGCTCTCTAGGCCTTAGACATAAATTATCTGGTAGCAGTTTGTATGAATGTTAACTTCCTGTGACATAACAAATGGGTGCATGATGGACAAGAACAGCTTATGCTCACCTTGTAAAGGCTAGCACATATTATAAATATCACATAACTTTACTGAAAATCTAAATTTAAATGAAAAATCATCTACAAAGCCTATAAATAAAAGCATAACAAAATAAAAAGTGAAAGGAATACTGCAGTTGAAAAAAAATATTAAATGCCATATTATCAGATAAATGTCTCACACATAAAATTTGGACATTGCTGAATCTTCATAATCATGTCTCTCAGACCCAGAGCGTCTTCAGTTCATCATTTTGTTCCATAACATTTTCTATAGTTTTTAATGCCTCAGTTTTTAAAACTTCCTGTAAATCTGCAACACTCTTGTTTGCATCAATAAGCTGAAAAGGAGAAAGGGCAGAAATGCTATTATTTCATTCAAGTAAATAACATAATGAGAAACATAAAATCCATATCAGTTTTTGTTATACAAACATCAACAATTTCTCCTTTTGCTAAATGTTTATCAAACTTTTGAAATTTGAGAAACACATTTACAAATTATAATTATTATTTTTACTAACTTCTATTCAATTTTAAATTACATTAAGGAGACCGTCCTGGGAAATGCCCAACTTTCTCTACTCATTTCATAAGAAAATATTGGTTGGAGATAACTCATTGATTCTTTTTGTATAACATATAGTATATAATTTTGCATTGTCTCATATATAATATTACCCTCGTCTCCCTATGGGGAGGGGGGAGCGCCCCCTAAAACGTCTAAAAAAAATTTTTCAGTAGATCCCAACTCCGTTTTTTCTTCCTGAATAATCCACCAAAAACTTGTGTTAAATCTTGCCTAGCCTAAGGCTGTGTATATATTCGATTTTTTTTTTTTTTTTTTTTTTGGGGGGGGGGACTTTTTTTTCTGCTTTAAATTATCTACATATTATAATTTATTCCAAAATTCAAAATTGGCTATTTACACAGCCTCAGGTTTCCAATGCTCTAGCAAAAGCAACAAACAGCGTTTGAATAGCATAAAAAATCGCACGAAAATTATGAGAGTTGGGATCTACCGAAGGTAATGTAAACAAAGAACAGAGATATGACGTTTTAAATTTTGAGCCAAAGTTTGTTATCTAATCAATGATAATATTTATATAAAAAAAGCTTATTCACTATACTTTGCAATGTGATGATTGCCAAGTCAATCAGAATTATCATTTTCAATAGGGACACTATTTTGTAAAGGTATGTGTCATTATTTTGGAGATGGTCAATGGGTGTTTATAATTTTGAGGGTGATCATATGCATGTAAACACATGCACAAAAAGTTTATATGTAAAGGAATAAAATATATTAGTTATTCCCCTCACACCATTTTCTTTGATAATTGTCAATAGTAACAGTTAGCAATGAGAAATGAGTAAAGAGTGTGTTTTGTCATTTGCCTCCATTATCTTTGCTAACAAGTGCATAAAATCATGCAGATGGCTAGGTGTGGTTGGATATTTGTGTATTTATGGTACCTAAGACCTATAGTAATGTCTAAGCGTAATATTTCTTAACATGAAAAGGATGCGATAGATGTCTCAACTCTAGACAAAGGCTGCCCATACAAACGAGCTCAAAATTCATTATAATTTTTATTTCAGAGTGGATATTACTGGCTACTATCATCTTCGACATGAAATAATTTAGAAATGCGACTTACAGATGCCACTTGTATTGAATTGCTTTTTACAGCAGAAACGACCAAAATCAGATTAAATCAATTCTAACAATGCTGTTAAATACTGACTGTTGAACGAAGTCTAACGGAAATATTGTAATCATTATCTATACGGATATTTTCAAACATTAGTGCTTCGTACTCGGTAAACATACAGATCCCTTCGTAAGCTATAACATAATACCAGGGAGTCTTGATGGAAGCATATTTCATGCATAAAAATACACAAAACTTACAATTTTTAAAGATCTATTTCACAAAATATTTTGCCATAAATCACTGATACAATTTTTTTCTGATATTGGTATAAAAGTGTTCTTTGAATACTCACGAACTCATATCTATGCTCAATGTCATTATCAAATGCCGTATGCACGGCTACAACAAGCAAAAGTCCACATAGTTGTACCCGGGCATATATTAGCAGCGTACCTCCCCATGTGTTGGTGGATCTCACATGCGCCACATAGAACTAACCATAGCTGGGCTTTAATAGTCATTTGGTAGTTTCCTCACCCATGTACCTATACAATATGCTAGCTAACTCAATTTGCCCCAAAATTTTCAACCCCCCCAGGACAGTCCCCTTAAACACCAGTCTATAATAACTTCAATTGATTACTGAGTAATGAGAAAAATTGTATACAAATCAATCCTATTTAAAAATAAACCACTTATTCTAAATATCTGTACATCATTTATCCATGAATAATAAATACTTTTTACAATAAGAGACATAAAAAAAAATATATATATATAGATTCAATGTACACATGTCTGAGATTCTTATGCTAAACACACAATAGATTTTACAGCACATGGATGCCACCCATTAGCATTATATTCTTTAACTGAGAGACAAATTTATTTCCAAACTTTTTACTTTAATCACGATTTCATAACCAACCTTCCACGAGTCATCCTTCAGCAACTGGAAATTTTCATAGACACGTTTCTGAAACTCTTCCTTTTCATAACGTTCCGCTCCAAACTGCCCTCGCCTTTTTGCTTCGTCTGGCTGCAAGTCAAGAAACAACACTTGATCTGGTTTTGGAAGTCCAGCATCACTCTTCTTGCACCACTCCAAACTCATATCCTGAAGAAAATGAATTTGGAAATAATTACAAGAACTTACAATGCAAAGCATAAGTGTCAAGAATATTATGATAGTGTAGCAAGCTGTATTCTCAGTAACTTGATGCAGTATTAGAGGAAAATATAACATTTTGAGAAATACCAAAGTAGTCTTCAAAAATTGTAGCAACAGAGTATAAAAATATCATATTATCAGTTTGTAACATTCCACTGTAGAACATAATGCTTTCTCTGGTATCACCACTCTTGCCTAACAACCTTATCACACAATCAGTATTCACATGTATACTGACTCTATCCCCGAGTTTACTGTGCTGGAGTATGACTGCTCCACTACATTGAATATTTTTCCCCACCACAAAAGCAGCCTTTCAAATTTACTCAAAATACTTCCCTTTGGCTAAGTTAGAAAAGAGCTACTATGCGTGTTTGTGTGTCAGTGTGCTTGTGTGTGTGTGCTTGTTTGTGTGCTTGTGTGTCTGTGCTTGTTTGTGTGTCTGTGTGCTTGTTTGTAAGTTGTGTGCTTGTGTGTGTCTGCTTGTTGTGTGTGCTGTGTGTGTTGTGTGTCTGTCTGTGTGTGTGCTGTTTGTGTGTCTGTGTGCTGTGTGTCTGTGTTGAGTCTGTGTGTGTGTCTGAGTGTGTGTCTGTGTCTGAGTCTGTGTGTCTGTGTGTCTGGTGTCTGTGTGTGTGTGTCTGTGTGCATGTGTGCATGTATCTGTGGTTGCTTGATCATTGCTTTACCTGACTATTCATCTCTTCTTGCCACACTAGAAATTCCAATGCTGTGTTGTCTATCCCCTTCCCCGACAGCAATGTATTGTTGCAACACTAGCTTTCTTCACTGTCAATTGTCACATGCTAAATAATGACATAGCTATCCTTAGAGGACTGTAGGAGTCAAAGAGCAATACCTCACTCCTTAGAGCAGCCACACTCAATCATTACTTTTCAATAAATTTAGGAGTCAAGACATCTTGTTTGTATAACAAACCCTAACTAAGCTTGCCATCTACTATACTTTTGTATGGCCAATCTACTATGCATGTATGTCTATGTATGTATGTCCAGGCATGTGTGTCTAGGCATGTGTGTCCAGGCATGTGAGCATGCTTCTTTTCTGACCATTTTACTGAAGCTTTGACTTACAGAACACTTAACAGCATTGGCTTGACATAGCCAGATAAATAGATACATATTAAAGAGGTTTGTATTTTCTCATCACCAATACAAAAACACTTTTAAATCATACCTTCTTGGCAGCAGAAAAGGCAACACCAGAAAAGGCATATCGATCTACAATTATTGATGTTCCACTTTTCAGCTCTGATAAAATCTTTGGCAATAATTCCCATCTGGAAAAAGAGGAAAAAAAAAATGAAAAACTAAATGCTATCTAATTCTTGATTTAACCCCTCACTGACATATACACTCCATGACTCGCAGCGGTCAGGCCGGCATAAACAGCTTAGGCCTACCCACTGTCTTGATTGTTGTGTAATATTACATCACAAATCAGGCCCCATCATAAGAGGGTTAGCTTTAGTGTCAGTGGTATTGACCCTTAAGAACTGCATGTCCTCCTGCTTCTCTATCCCCAACAGCTGGCATTTCATTGTATCTTGATGTATTAATAACAAAAACACAATGATAATACTTCACAGCAATTTTGTGTTTCATAGTAGTGAGTACATGTATAGAGGGGGAATGTGGGTGAGGAAAAATTGGGTGTTTCTCTTGATAAACTATAATATATGGTACCAAAATTGCCATTTCTTATTCAATGTATTTCATTCACAAGATGAAAGCAGTGAGAAAATATGACTGTTTGGCAAGAGAGACTAAGGGGAATGAAATGGTAGCAGACATATGAAGGGACACTAAATGTTGTGATAATGAAAATGTTCCAGGAAGAAAAAAAAATGGTTTTCAATAGGCCTTGCAAAATAATAAATTCTACACATTATAAGTAAGGCCATAATTATGGCAACTAGGACCAACAATGGCTTATGTTGTCCATGGCATGGAAACAGCAGGATCATACGAGAATTGCACACGTGAAATAGTGTTTTTTGTTTTTATATTTCATTAATTAGGCTTAGTAAAGGGAATGCACGAGAGAGAGTAAGGCTAGCACAAAACTGTTAAACTATTGATACCTCCTCTTTAACATTATCAAAGCCATGACCATTTAATAAATGCAGAATTTCAAGTAAATTACTATCCACTCAAGAGTAAAGAAAATTCATACCTGTTTGCAGAGAAGAGAAGATGTATGGCATGGTCTTCTAAGTCTTTTTCACATGACAAGTAACTACTGATGATACCTCCAATGTGTGTTCCTCTTTCTGCAAGAAAACTTATCCATGAAAAGCTAATACATAAAAGAGTCGGCATTCCTACATGAAAGATAGTCAACGAGAAGGTCTCTTACTACACAGAATTCAAGCTACTATGAAATAAAGGGTTCTAAGCATAAATCAGTTTTACAGTTATGGATTTTTGTTCTTCAAGTGTTCACATTATCTTCACCTGAATAATAGTTTGTATGCTAAGACTTTGTTTAGCAGCCACAAATGCTTCAATAGGAAGAGTAAGAAAGATATTGGTAAACTTGATATATTCCACTTTTTTAGCACAACATTTGAATTGACCTGAATTATTAAACAGAAATGTATCTTTAAAGTACCTTCATTTCTAAAAAATAAATAACTAAAACTTGCAAAAAAAGATATATTTTTACCTGGAAACCTCATAAATATTGCAGGCTTGCCTTCCTTCTTTAATGATTCAACCAGCATTTCAGATTGTGTGGTTTTTCCTGTCCTGTCACACCCTTCTATCACTATAAGAGCTCCTCTCTTTCCATTACTTCCTTCTTGATTACTATTTTCAGCCATTTTATAAAAAGTTCTTATACTTGATCTGAAAATGAAACATGCAATTTATAAGTCAGAATTAAAGACAAATTTGTTTGTTAGTGAGCTATAATTTTCTCTCATGCAGTCTTGTTTTGCTCTCAGTTTTCCTAGTTGCAAAATATGCAACTAGGAAAAGACACCATGCCTTTTGGAAATTATACATCTAATCAAATCATCTCTATATAAATTTGACTTTGTTGAAATTCAGACAAACATTGTAAATTAGAGAATGTTTTTTCAAAGTATCACCAGTTCATGGCCATCTTTATTCCAAATCACTTAAAGTGAACAGAGCTCACAAAACCTTAACAAATTCAACATTCTCCTTAAAACCAATTATAAATTTCAACTTTTATTCAAGGACACAGTGCTTCATTCAAGAACTATCCGAAAAATCAGATAAATACTCTGCTCAGATTAGAAAAGATACAGTCACAGAAAGTCAAATCTGGCTTAGAGATCTAAAAAAAAGATAAATATAAGAATAAAGGCTAATTACCTAGAACAGGATTATACAGAGAAAACTTCTAGAAAGAACACATAGAACAATACTGTTTGATATAAATATTAATCTGCTCAAAGTGAAGGTAAGCCCTCAAGTCACTTGATCTACACATCAAGAGGTGACACAGTCATGTGGTCTGCACTCTAGCAAGAGTCAACAAATTTCAATCATGTATTCTCTGGTTATCTTACTTGGATAACCACTGATCAAACAAACCACTTACTTCATATTTGCACCTACATGTACTTTTACTTTATTGGTTTCCTTTATGTTAAATGAAAGATGGTGTATTTTGAACATACTTTTACTACCTACATCTTCCAAATTCTTCCTTACTCTTGACGATCATCACCCACAAAATGTAGGCAACACACCAATGTATGTATATCTGCTTGTGGTTATGTGTGTGCTTGTGCACATGTGCTTGCTTCTCCTTTGAAAAGATAGCCTTTATCCTGGACACCTGTTCTGATGTATTGCCCTTTTCCAAGGTCTATATTTGTCATTTGTTAAGCTATATAAATATGGTAACTAACACTCATTCATTTTTTTCAAAATTTTGTATTATTCAATTTTCAGTAACACATCCTGAAGCACAGGAAGCAGCAAGCAAGAATGAGTCCCTTCAAGTGGACACAGTCGGCCAGTTTTTTAAACCAAGCGAGGCCCATCCCAATGAAAATTCATATATACAGACATACAAATACACAAATAAATGCCTATTTGTCTATCTGACAGATCAAGATTTATCCATCTATCTGGTAGCTAAGCATGTCTAGACTGATAAATATACATTTATTTCTGCGCATATGCAAATCCATATATTTGAATATTCATTGCCTTGGTCCTTGCACAATTTTAACAAACTGGCCATGGGTCCTTGCTGGAGCTTGGGTTAACTCAGGCTCAGTATGGAAAGTACAGCATATGTGCACCCAAGATTTTTGTTTGAGCTCCTGGCTGCACACCTGTGATGGTAGTCAGTGGTCAAAATAATTATGTAACATGGATATGGAATGAGGAATTTACTAATAGCTTAAAGGACTATCAAGCATTTAGTTATCTGAAAAGTTTCGGGATGTGCACTCGTGAAGTGCACACTTGGTAACCTTTGCACACTGCACACTTCAATTTTTTTTCCTGCACACTCGAAATCTTGTTGAAAAATGCTGTATTTTCCATACTGTCCCTGGGCTGGAATAGCACACTCCACCCTCATTTAACAATATCAGAAGAACTACTGAATCAGGCAATAGTAATAAAGGCAGCCACACTACATATACCGAGGAAATTATAATAGAATAGAGTCCACAAACCTCGTCTCGAATTTAAACAATACTGTGAGCTTTCTGAAAAGTAAGGCGAACTACCCCTAGGAAAGGGGGTCCGGGGGATTGCCCCTGGTAGGGGGTTAGGAAGGTATGCTTCGTCTGTACGGCGAAATACCCCTCGGAAAGGGGTAAGGAAATACCCCAGAGAAGGGGGTCTGGGGGCTTGCCCCCATTAGGGAAATACCCCCAGGGAAGGGGGTCTGGCAGCTTGCACCTGGTAGGGAAATATCCTAGGGGAGGGGGTCTAGTTTACGTTACGTTAGGTTAACAAATTTCATCGGGATTTCTGCAAGACTGACACTGGCCCACCGCATCTTGCAGTGGTGCCTGCCTCTCATTCAGATTTTGCATTTTTATCAAAAGTTTCACTTTTGACTCCACTATTTCTCCCTTGTGTGTGTCTCCCCCCCCCTTCAACCCCTGATTCTCCATGGATCCCCCAAGATTGAAGGGGGAAGGAGAAAAAAAAACATAACAAATAGGTGCAGCTGTCGTACTTAGAATTACCCTGAATCTCCTTCCAAACGCTTTGTGCTCTCGAAATTCAGTGCTTTTAAACATTTGTCTCTCTCTGAAACTGTGGATGTGGCTGTTGGCTCTGGATGTCAGGTGTCATACAGCAGGCAAGTTTATAAAAATAAAGAAGGAAAATAAACACAAGAGGAACTTTCTCTGCTTATTCTTAAGGATGCAGACATTCTAGGATGATCAATCTGGTGCATGATTAAGAAATATAATCAGGCAAAATAGCTAGCAT